GACGATATTAATATGTTATGTTATACAATATATCAATTGCACATAATCTAAGCCTTAATGCCAACAAATCAAAGGCAATGCTGTTTGGCTCTAAACAAAAACGTATGATTTCTAAGCATTCGTTTAATCTGAACATTAATAACATACCATTATCTGTAGTGGATGAGAGCAAAAATTTGGGATTGTGGTTTGATTCAGATCTGCGATTTAGTGTCCATGTCAATAAAATTTCCTCCTCAGCCTATAGTACGCTTAAGCAATTATATCCACAGCGTCGTGTTTTAAACAGTAGCTTGAAAATGAAGTTATGTGATGCCCTTATAATTTCTCGCCTATCTTACTGTGACAGCATATATGGCCCGGCTCTTTTAAAAAATGATTGTTTAAAATTACAGCGAGTACAAAATTCGTGTCTGCGCTTCTGTTTTGGTATAAGAAAGTTTGATCACATAAGCCATATATTCAAACCACACAACATTCTAAGTTTAGATAGATTGAGAAAATTGCATTTCCTATCACTAATCCACAAAGTTCTCGTGAACAAAAAGCCGGAATACCTTTTAGATAGAATTTCAAAGTTTGAAAATATCAATACATTATATACTAGAAATAGGCGAATGATCGTTATACCACCCCACTCAACATCAACCTTTAAACGCAGCTTTTCATATAACGCAGCAAAACTATACAATTGTCTCCCAAATGATTTTTATGACTTCTCTTTATTGAACTTTAAGAAAAAGCTAAAGAATTTGTATCTGTCTGAAGTGTGAAGGATCCTATATGCTGACTCTGTTTACGCCCACTACTTTTCTACTTGTCTCTCTTTCATTCTTATTCTATTAATTGTTGATACAAAATGCTTTTTCGTTACCTTCAAAAATGTATTATGATTTGCTGATAGGACGTTGGTAGCTACACCAGCAACAAAAGACTTTTAATCCTACGTTCCATTGAGAAAGTTATGGTAGTTAAATGGATGAGCTGAAACTCACTACATTTTTTTTCTTTTTTTTATGATTAGTTCCTTTCTCTTAGGCACTAGGTTACAGAACAGTTATTATGACTATAATTAATACTTATGTTTATCTCTATTATTGTATGATATGTGTATGTTCATGATACAGATACAATTTTTTATTTGAGGTTGAGTTGAAAAATACCCCTAGGGTAACACTCCACCTTTTCAATTTTGCACTTTTGCGGTTTTCAAGATATCATTCTTTTGTTTTATTTTATGTATGCAAAGATGAATAAAGGCACATTATTATTATTATTGTTACCATGGCCACCAAGATCTCCCGACTTATCCCCAATTGAGCACGTGTGGGATATAATGGGTAGGAGATTGCTCAATTTGCAACGTCCTCCTCAGACTCTCGAAGCACTTCGAGAGGAGTTGGTGGTTGCCTGGAATGAGATACCACAGGAGGACATTGACCACCTGATCAGAAGCATGCCTAGGCGCGTTGGAGAATGCGTAGCACATCAGGGTGCATCCACACATTATTAAAGGTCAAAGGGCTTTAAAGCGGTGCAATCATTTTGAAATTTTTATCATTTACTTATTATGCTTCATTAAGTACTTATACAAAATTTTATTAAAATAAAACCATTTAAACTGGGTGTTCGGATTTATATGTCACTTAGTATATATTCACTGTACACAGTCCCATTACAAGCCATATACGTAGTCGTGCCATAAGTTCTGTCCCATGATAATCTCATGATAAAAATGAAACAAGATAAGATATATTTATATGAAAGATATTATTTATTCGACAACATTTTTAGAATTCATAATCAAACAGTTTTATTCAAAATGTCCCCCCTTGGCCTTCACACACTGCTTCAATCTCGCGGGCCACTCATTTATCACTGCACGCACAGCTTCCAAAGGAATAGCTGCCGCTGATCGGATCAAATCCGCTTTCAGGGACTCGATATTACGGTGAGCTTTGGAGCAGGCCAACTGCTCTAGCAGGTCCCACAACTTGTAGTCTAAAGGATTGAGGTCCGGACTCCCTGAGGGCCAATCTTCCGCAGCAATGAACTCTGGCACATTGCTTTCCAGCCAGCGCTGCGTACTCTTAGCCTTGTGAGCGGGGGCGGAATCCTGCTGGTAGACCCAGTGTTGGTTGGCAAACAATGTACCACTTAAAGGCTTGACGATAGGATCCAGTATGTCGCTCTGATAGTTTGCCGCTTTTGTTTTCACGCCCTGTTTACAGAAATGGAGCTGAGTGACCCCTTCGTAGGACACCCCCCACCAAACCATGACTGACGCAGGGTGGTGGCCTCTCTCAACTCTCGGAATGATCTCCGAAGCTTCCTGTGAACTCCTTGCATACACTTTGTCATTTTGTCGGTTGAATTTTTCTTCTATGGTGAAGATTTTCTCATCCGTGAACAAAATCTTTCGGAATCCCCCAGCTGCGTACCTCTCCAAGAGCTTCTTGGATCTTGTCGCCCTGATGTGTCGCAAGGTGGCCGTAAGTCGCTGGCCCGTACGTCTCCGGTAAGCCCCTAGCCCTAGGTCTTGTTTAATGATGCGCGACATCGTCCGGACAGGAATCTTCATTTCCCTGGATAGGATCTTCTGCTTCCGGAGTGGATTCCTTTGAATCCTGGCTTTTACGGCTTTGATGGCTGCTGGAGTCCTTACTTGACGAGGTCTTCCGCTTCTTGGCCTGTCATCAACAGAGGACGTCTCATTGTACCGCTGAATGGTCCTAGACACAAATTTACGCGATATTTGAAGGCCGCGTAAGAGTTCAAAAATCTGACTAGCACTGTGATTACACTTATGTAAAGCTATCACTGCAATACGGTTCTCTGCCTTGCCCCACTCCATCGTTATGCTTCGAGAGATCAATACAAACTGAGGTATATGTAATTACCCGAAAAGCGCTTAATCAACTGACACCACAATGTAAACAATCGGACAAGTATTAACAGGTCTACACTTGTTTGAAAACGAGGGACAGAACTTATGGCATGACTACGTACATGCTAACAGTGATTACACACAACGCGGGCGCGGTGATGATTTTCCGTAATTCTTCTCAAAGTTTTTCGTAATTTATAACTATAAACCTGTCTTCAGAAAGGACAACATAAATAACCCATCGGGCACAGCTAATAGATATACTTCATTGGCAGCATATTCAGTAATGATTTTATAAACATGCAGACCAATACACATAATCATCCAGACGTAATCTTACTATTCCACCAACTTTCTTCTCAGAGATGAAAACTACAGACACAGACCACTTGGCCTCACAAATCATATGCAACCACCCAACTAGTAAAGTAGTGGTATAAGCTTTTGGTAAAAGAACCGTTCACCCATAAAAGCTCTCTATTGTTGTTGCTTGAACACCAAAATGCTGGCTTAATGTTGTGTGGAATGCAAATTTGCTGTCTGCAACATATTTGCTCTAAAGTGAGGTGTTTAAAATATTCTTATAGCATAGTTATACAACACCTTTTAGGACAAATTTTTGGTTCTCGACGTAACAGAATAGTTGTATAGTTGACAAAAACTGAATCTTGCACTGACGCAAATGTCCTATAGCGGCAGCAAGAGGCTTAGACTTTTGTTGTATAACTGTTACCTGCACCCCTTATAGGACCCCTTAAATGACTGAAGAGTCCTATCAGATGTGCCCATTCCGCTTGTATAGCAGTTCTAAGAGGGTTTTGCCAATGTTCTTACAGTATACGATGCTGTTTAAGGAGTACTGTATAATCATTCTTGCAACTCTAATAGGAGTGATAATTGTTAGTTGGGTTGTTTGATTCCTTTTTAAAATTATCTAAAATAGTGTTGGTATTCCATTTTCAATTCTCTTTTTTTTCTTCAAAATTAGACAAGAATGACTTTTCAAGTAGTTAATCGATTACGCAGCGACACTCATCCAAGTTTAGTCGCACGCTCACTACAGCCGCCAACCAAAACGATTACTAACGAGGGAGAAGTGAGTAACCAAAACAAAAAAGGTAACAAGTCCACATAATAATCGCGGCGGCACAAGCACTTGGGCATCCGCGATCAGACACGAGCCGGCTCCCCCTGTACCCGACGGATTATCAAGCGTATCCATAAACGAAAATGGTAACAACCGACAACCAATTCAAGGCGAGGTGGCTTCATCCAACGAATTCGAATACGGGTAGAAGACGTAAACAAAGGATTTGTTTTTATCATCATCTAGAGGGACACACAAACTCGAGTGGCTACCAGTTTTCTGCGGTGTTGCCACATCTTGTTCACTGCTTTCACGCAAGCGATTGATGATAGCACTGAGCAGTGCAAAAATAATCGTAAAATGTTATACGTGGTGATAACTAAATAAAGAGTATTAATTTGTCTCAGATATGCTGTATTTTCAAATAGAACAACTCATATATGTACAGTTATAAATTGTTTGTAACACCCTGCACCGAAAAGTCTTTGGTTTCAGTACACTAATATATTTCATATTATAATGTTTCCACTAACTGATGCAATGTCATCAGCTTCAAAACCTATCAACTTCACGGAACTCGCAATAATTACAATAAATAATTTTTCAAAAAAAAAAAAAACATCACAGCGATTTCCGAAAACGTCTTGAGCTATTCTTATTCTGGTTTCGTCCTTAGCATTTCAACATACATCTGGAATAAGCACTGAAGACAATAAAGAAATATGAATTGTTATATCCCCGTGATATTTCCTGAAAGACTAATATTTGCGTACTAAACGTGGCAACGGTATGGTGGCAAATTGAGAACAGCTGGACTGATATCTGGTGTTTTATGCTGCGGCTTTATGCAACTGAGGGGAAGCTGTATTTTGCTCATGTTGCCATGTTTACGTGTGTTTTCCGTGATATTTTCACAGAGTTTTGAGGATCTTGAAACACTTCAGTGGAATATATAGCATTTTGGACTATTCTCGAAGATGGTGAAGTGTTGCATGTTATGTAAAAAGCATTTTAAGTGCGATAAAAGCAGATGCCCACTCGGGGAAAAGTATACAATTTTCGTTCAAGGTCAAATTTCGGGTAAACAATAATCTGTTGATGTTGCTAACAAACAATCGTTTAACATCATATGGGGTTGGCTTCTTCTAACCTAGTCCGAATTCGTTGGCTTCATCGCGTTCGCAAAATCTAGTCAGTATTATAGGGCGCATTATTTTCGTGGGGCTAATCTGCTATGTACTAAAATACTAGTACATATTGCTGTTGGTAAATAAATAAATGAGATTATTTCACAGTACTTAGTCACAAATTATTTAGTTTTAAAATTTTTAACTGTTAAAAGTGGTAACAATGGTTACATGGACGCTTCGCCACTGATAGAGAGACTTTTAATTTAAAGATTAAATCGGTGGAAAAGGAGATAAACGGAATGGGAATAGAAACATTGTGCAAAACTTTTAGAGATATGGTGCTAACGTCAGTGAAATCAGTTTGCGGTACATATAGAACGAGTTCGAACAGAAAACAAACAGCTTGGTGGAATAATAGCATAAAAATACAACATAAAATTAAAAAACGGAAATGGCTAAGTTTTCTAAACAAACGTACATAGGAAAGCTATAATGAATATAAGAAACAGAGAGAAAAAGTGAAAACTATGGTGAGAGACAGTAAAAAGAAAGTATGGAGTGATTTTGAATATAAACTTGAGCGTGACAGCAAAGGTAACCAAAAATTATTTTATAATGTCTTGAAGAGACTTCGAAATAGACAAAACGCAGCAACTGACACAACAGGGATAATGGATCGAGATGGAGTTCTGATTATGGAGGACAAAAAAATACTGGCTAGATGGAAAGAGTACTTTAATGATTTGTTGAACTCACAGAATGACATCGAACCAGATAATTCCTCGGTATCTACGACAGATCAAGTCACCGAAGATACAGAAGAGGGGATAACAATAGACGAGGTAACAGACGCATTGAAGAAACTTAAAAATGGAAAGGCACCTGGAATAGATAAAATAACAGCGGAAATGTTGAAAAATATGGACGAAACTGGAATTAGAATACTACATTCTCTCTTCACAAAAACATATAGACAACAGATAATACCCGAGCAGTGGACAACAGGGCTGATTTTACCACTTTTCAAGAAAGGAGACAAGAAAGATTCTCACAATTACAGAAGAATAACGCTGCTGTCTACAGTACTCAAGGTCTATGAACAAATAATAGAGAAAAAAACAAAGAAAGTTTAATAGAGCCGACATTGTCTGAAACAAAAAGTGGATTTAGATCGGGAAGAAGCACTCAGGATCACATATTTGCTATTAAAATCTTGATGACTAAATTTTTACCAAAAGGAAAACCAATGAACCTTGCCTTCATGGATATGGAGAAAGCTTTTGATAGAGTTCCACGAAAAAAGTTAAATGATAATTTGCTGAGACGAAATGTTCCAGTAAAATTAATAGAAGTGATCATGAGTATATACCACAAGCGGCTGGCCCTTAAGTTCTTCAGAGCTGCAGAACTGCCAAAACTTTTGTCTTAACAGAAAAAGCAGTAGTAATTTGATCATTATTTATTTTCCATGTTATCACACAAATAGAAACAGTACCGGCCTGCCCCCGCAAGACATGGCGTCGAGTCTGTTTTGTACTGAGAAAGCATTATAATCGACCAACTGTGTACTTGTCATTTTCGTCGCGACCGCAGCGTAACATTCGACACAAGCCGCACGCGCGTGCTTTTGTCTCTCTGTACAAAATCAAATGCGCGATTTAAGCATAAGCATGTGCTGCAATGTATACAGATCTGTACAGATTTAATGCGAAGTACGATATCTGATTGGTCGTTCGGTACTCGGTGTTCGGCGGTATTGGCATATTGGTCTTGTCGTGTGACGTGGCTTAAAATTTGATGCGAAACATTTTTTATTTAGGTATTTTGGGACTTACGTTGAGTGACTAGTGACTCACTGACTGACTGTGGCTGTGTAGAAGGGTAGTGCAGGACAATGGATGTGGTTTACAGACTTATCAGCGTGAAACGATTCTGGAAATAAACATTTGAAGAAAAAAATGAGCTGAAGGTCAGGTCGACCGATGCCGGACATATTTATAGAAACACAGGGCGTTAGTCGGGGCATTTCAGCAGGGAGATTTACACCAGAAATGACTGGATTTGTGGGTGCAACAGGAAGGATGACCTTTTCTGCTTTCTTTGCATACTTTTCGGCGGTGACAAAGCTTGGACGGAGGTAGGTGTTTCAGATTTAGTGCTCCTGAGCGAAAAAATTAAGAAGCATGAAAACTCTAAGACACATCTTCATAATTCGATGGAATTGGCTTTATTGGGGACTGTTAACATCAGAGCTAAGTTAGATTCAGCATATTGGAGAAATATACAACAGTATAATGATACCGTTACAAAAAACAGGTACGTTCTATCAAAAATAATCGATTGTATAAAATTTTGCGGAGCATTTGAATTGGGGCTACGGGGCCACGACGAAACCGAGAGCTCCCAAAACCCAGGAATATTTCATGGACTGATTAATTTTTCTGCTGAGCTTGATACAACCTTAAGCGAACACATAAAAAATGCTTCAATATTTAAAGGAACTTCGAAAGAAATACAAAACGATCTACTGGATTGTACTCTTGAAGTTTGTCATGAAGAAATAATAAAACAGATTAACAGAGCCTTGTATTTGGCGATAATAGCAGATGAAACAACGGACATTTCGGGGAAAACCCAATTTTCAGATACGTATTTAACGGCGAACCAGTAGAACGTTTTTGGAATTATATGAATCCCGAAAAATGTGACACTGATGCTCAAGTTCGGGTGTTCTTTGGGGATTTGAAAGATATTCCGGGATTTTTTAATAATTCTCCTCAACGCGTAGAGATACTGAACAGAATTGCGGAGAAAAAAATTCCCCAAGGAGCAACAACTCGTTGGAATTTTAATATTCGAACAATAAATGTAGTGCTTGAGAACAGAGAATCACTCATTGAATGCATGGAAGAAATAGAAGAAAATTTCACTAATGAAATCGTTTGCAAGGCAGCTTGCGGTATTCGCCGTATATTAAACGATTCTGTTTTCGAGCCAGCGCAAGTTAAAACGGCTATCGATAATTTTGAAAAATGTATTGTCGATGTGAGAAATAAAATTGATGACATAATAAATGAAGCCAAACGTATTTGCACTGAACCCCAAGGCAACAAAAGGAGAAGACGTAATAATAGCAGTCACGATCACCGAGTTGCCGCATTAGAAGTATACGACAATGTAGTGAATTCTGCAAATGACAGATTTCAATTAAAAATCATTTGGTAGCCGCATCCCTTATTTTCCCCGAACACTTTGGAGAATACTGTGGTAAGTTTCCTGATGAGAAGTTGGAAACTACCTGCTTGGCTTATTCCGAATTAGAAAAAAGTCGTTTAAAGACAGAGTTGTTTGTAATTTATGCACGGAATGATTGCCGTGATTTACATGGAACTCTGTCTCTTTTGGAATTTTTGATACAAAATAGTAGAAGAAACAAAAAAGCTATTAGGAATTATTGTTACAACTCCTATGTCAACATCAGAGGCTGAGCGAAATTTCTAAACATTGAAAAGAATCAAGAACTTTCTTCGAAATACTATGACCTATGATCGCCTTTCAGCGTTGTCGATGCTGTCCATTGAAAAGGAATTTATTTCGACCATGAAAAATTTCAACGGGAAGGTGATCGACAAATTTGCTACCAAGAAGGAGCGCAGGATCGAACTGACATATAAAAAATAGGTAAGTTCGGATGTGCAGAACACCTGTTTTATTTTGCCACGAGCCGCCACTGCCACAAGACTAACCACCGAGTAATATCCAGAAATATGATGTCCGAAGAATTCGCTACTACAGAGGGAGTACGTCGGGGCGGAGAGCCTAGTCCCCTGTTGTTTAGAGAATTTATGGATGATCTGATAACACAATGCAGGCAAAGAACAAAACCAATTTTTGTTGCATACAGGAAGTTGCAAAAAGTGAAATTAGCAGAGTGCGCATTTGCAGATGATTTGGTGAAAAAATGAAAAACTCAATATGGACATAAGAATAGATAATGTAAAATTACAACAGGTGCACTCCTTTAAATATCTGGGATTTATATTGGAACCTAACGGCAGAAATGAAATACAAATTTCTGAAAGGGTAGGAAAGGCAAATAACTTGTACTATGCGATGAGTGAAGGTTTTATCAATAAAAAGGATGTGTCCAAGAAAACAAAAATCACAGTGTATAATACAATATATAGATCTATATTGACATATAGATGCGAATCCTGGGTTCTAGCGCAACAACAAAAAAGTAAACTTCAGGCAGTTGAAATGAAATACTTGAGACGAGTTAAAGGGGTAACCAAAATGGACAAAATAAGAAACGAGACCATAAAAACGGAGTTACAGACAGAATCTATACTAGAACACATAGAAATGAAGCAGCTGAGATGGTAGGGATATATGCAAAGAATGGGTGACAACATACCGGTGAAACAAGTTTGGGAGAGTAAGGTGCTAGGAGAAAGGAGAAGGAGCAGGCCACAAAGAACATGGGAGCATACCATGGAACAGATAGTGATGAAAATATGAACGGATTGGAGATAAGCTAAGAAACTTGCTTTAAGCAAAAAGAATGGATTAAATTCATGTACAAATAATAGAAGATTTTGTAATGTTTTGTTTAACCCTACACCCTTTAGAGTAATATATATATATATATATACACACCTATATGTATTGTATCACAAAATAAAATATGAACATTTCAACATTGTCATCATATGTTTCAATTCGTGGCGCCAGTTTTTTGATCCCGTCGTCACAGAACGCTGCCGTCTGATCGTTAAACCAGTTAGTAATGGTTCCTTTCAACGTCATTTTCCAAGCGCTTTCCACCAAGAAATTCCCTTAGTTTTGGAAAAGGTGACCACTTGATGGTGCTGTCAGAGCTGTATTGTGACTGATTGCCGCTACGTGATGCCGAGCGTTATCGTGAAGCAGAACAACTGGGCTAGAGAGTAGGCCCGACGGCGGTTTTGAAAAGCGCACCTAATTCAAAATTTCAGTATGAGGAACTGTTTTGCGTTTAAAACTCGTATTGCTGAGTACATCATAGTCAGCGGGCTTACTGATTGACGTGGCGACAAACAAGGCAGAGCAACTACAAAACCAACACCGACAAAGCCGTAAAACGTAATAGCGGCAGAGTGAGAGACTGGCTAAGAGTGTCTAAGGTTGATCGGACGCCATGTGTCAGAATGCATGGGCACGATGCGCAATCGGTTCTTACTATAAAAAGTGCACCCGCATTTTTACTTCTCACGCCTACCGTCGGGGAAGTCCTGTAATCGGAAAAAATTTAAATAGAGATAGGTTTTTAGAGTATGACACCGGTAAAAATCCAGACGGAGGATGGTAGAGGGAAGGGACTACAATCTTGATTTTTATGCATTGCAGTCGCTTCCGACCTTCATTTTTGGCACCTAAAAACTTCAATTGCTTGAAGCATAAATGGGCATTCCTGTTCTATAAAGGGTGAAAGGCTGATTCTGTCAAAATCGTGAAAGTAGTCATCCTTTCAGACTATTTGTGAAAGCAGTTAACATCTTTTTATGCTATGTTATCTGCCAATTGGGTTACTTCTGACAAAGCTTCTAATTTTCTATACAAAGCATCCACTACAGTCAAATCGGTGTCAGCTAATTGGTGTAACCGCACTGCCACCCATTCTTGATTGGCTGAGACGATCATGTACCTATAAGAGGAAAGACAATGTAAATGATAAAAAATTGACTTACGATATATATTCACTTCAATAATTCCGTATATCCACTTCTTGCCCAAATTTGATAATTGTTCGTTTGATTTCGGTTATAGGTTAGCTATAGGCGTTGCGAAAGCCTGGACAGTTGGTGAAGTAGTTTCGATTTATTTGATTCAACTTGTTTCTAGAGTGCTAAATCCCAATTTAACGTTTGCTGTCAAAATTGTATAACACCAAAGTTCAAAACAGGACCAACCGCAACCTTAATTGTTATTTTGAATCTAGAATAGTAAGTTTGTATTTTATCATTTTATCGTCACGAAATTCTGTTAAGAAACCTCGGTACACCCCCTTAATCTATTATATGAAATACGTTAAATCTCTTCCAACACATTAAAAATAAAAGACGAATGTCTAAGCATGAAAATGGCATATACTTGTTGAAAATAAAATATATTTTTCACCCCTAAAGAAATAATGGACTTTACTTTTATGATAATCTGCGTTACAGTATACTAAAATTGAAGTTTATACTTTTTCATACCCTTGTCTTTCTAAAGATCCGGCAACTTCTTGCAAATTAGGTATATCACATATGAATCTGGCCGTAACATTATCTACGACGGTAACGTCTTCAGCACCACTCTCGATCGCATGCGATGTTGCTATTTCTAGTAATTCATCTTCGCTTGTACCACTTTCTTCTAGTTCTGCTATTATTACGCCTTTTTCTTTGAACAAATGTTGACCTCCCCCATCTCCATACTGGAAGCTGTACAAATGAAAAATAATCGGGTACATATTTCATTCGTTTTCAAAGACCAGCAAATAAAACAAGAATGTGGGGGAAATTAGTTCATTAGTGAATAGGTCTTTCTCTAGTTTATTCTGATTTAGTTCGTCGTATGCTTATGATTTCCAATAGAGTTGTTAGGAAGAACGAAATCAGTATTTATTTTTGAACCTTTGGCAGAGTACAGCCTCAAACCTTTGGTGTAATGTGTTCAAAATACTGTATATTTATTGTTTGCGCTTTTTAATTTTTTAGTTTTATCCACTATCGCATTTTATATTAAAATGGAATATAATGAAATTCATATATTTTACGACTTGGTTACAAGGTATTCAAGAAATTGCTCGAGTGATTCACGTGCAACTATTTGAATTGACATTGCATACTAAGCAGCTTAATCTAAGTCACCGATGGTACATAGTAGCGGCACCGGTTTCTTTATGGGTATGGTCGAGGGACTCTCTAATGAGAACTTTCTACTTCCTTGTTGATGAACAGTTTGAAAGTTGGTATCTCGGAAAACCATCAAATGATAAAACTTACAATAAACTGAAATGAGTCAAATACTCGTAGATCAGACTAGTTTTATTTACTAGAACCCAGAGAAAAAATGAAACTCGTGGATTTTGATCCGCATGATTTTAAATAAATTCCAGTGTTTGTACTGTAAATCAGAACCTGTTTCTATCGACTCCTATTGAATAAATCCAGAGAAAACTCACATTTCTGTGTAATTTTGGGGATTCACTATTTGGCGATTTTTTTCTAAGAATAAACAATTGAATTACTTGTCAACAAGCAAAAGAAAATATGTTTCAGTCACACCTATAAAGAAATCAGTGATGCTATGAAATACCCAGTAAAAATTTGATAGCGTCGCCACATGGATAACTGAGTCGGATGTGACCAAAACAGTGTCTACCATCGATTCGATTTAAGAGAAATTAAAAATACATTTATTTAAAGAAGTAATAATGATTTATTTGCTAAAATACAATACACAGTAATATGATAATTTCGATATAATTTCAATCGAAATCAATATATTCCTACGCACAAGCTTTGTTTTATCAGAGAAACATTAAGAAACTAATATTAAAAACATTAATAACACTACTCAATTCAGCACTATAACAACGTATAAAACTGTTTTGTAGAAGTCCTAGAGACGCCTTTAAAAGTCGATAGTTAAAAGCAATGCTCGGAATTTTTGCGCCGCAACAACACTCAAAAGGCAATTAAAAGGAATCAAAAATAGAACTAGTAAAGTTCGAAGTAGATAAGACCATTAGTATACATTATAAAATAATTAAAAAATGCTATAGAGACACTGAAAATTTACAAAAAAATAAAAGTGGTGTAGATCTTGAGACACAGTAGGTAGATAAGTTTAAAAATACCCGTTTTCCTTCCACAAAGTCATGCAGATATGTAGGGATAGAAAAGATCCATTTTGACAACTTACTTTCAAACATTCATTGAGAATGTATTACTCTAAGTTAGAGTGGTAAACAATTGTACAATATTGGACACCGATATATCCACGAATGCTGCATCAAGGACTTGTCCGTTGGGTATGATATTATGGAACATCGTCTTCTGGTGAGTGACATACTTATGTTCAATCTTATTGCGGTAGCTTTTGTATTTATAATAAAATATGATGTGAAGAAATAGTTGTTTGATGTCTAAAAGCTTGAGACTCTTGAAACATGCTGCCGGAAGGATATAATCTACACTTTGAAGCTGATATTGATGAAATGTTTTCGAATGGTACTCAGACTCTTTAAATACGTTGTTGCTGTTCTGACAATTCCACAAGGCAGATGAGATTGGACAAGAGTATGATAAGTAGTTTTCATGGTGTTCATGTCCAAAATACGTTCTGACTTTTTAAATTTTGGTAACAGTGATCGGATTTTTTAACAACATATTCAATTTGCTCATCACACTTCAGATTGTCATCCTGATATATGCCGACATATTAGTGTCAATCTCCCTCTCGATGCCTACCTTTCAGCAGCTGGTCGTCATAATGCTCAACCTACTATATGCTGATAAATGCCTCTTATATGAAACTTTTCATCAAAAATGATGGTAAGTAGTTTGCTGTTGAAGTATGGTTCAACATTTTTGAATTTGTTTTCGATTTTGTTCTTTAAGGCACCACTAGAAGAATCTTCATTTATGATTACAGCGTTATAAGCAAAACCTAAGTCCGTACCGCCATATCGATAGAGTATAGGTCATTTTATTTCAGTTGAAGAGTATGAGTTCAAGTATTGTTTCCTGCGGAACTCCACAATCAACAATTTTATATTCGCTGATGGCATTATAAATCTTTAAACACTGTGTCCTGTTGTGTAGATAACTAGTCAAAAGCTTTAAGGGAGTTTCTCTAATACTGCTGTTCTTTAAAGTATCTAGAAGCTTGGCACGTCTAACTACCAAATGCTTTAGCTAGATCTATAAAAATACAGATGGTTGGAATTTTTTCAATTACTACATGGTAGTTGATGTGTAAGTGTTGCTATCGTATCCTGCGTTGGGACCCTTCTATAAAGTCAAACTGATTAAATTTACCATAAAAAATTTAATCACCATTTCTTCTATAATTTTACTAAATTTGATATCAAAGGGGTATTGGTCCGTAGTTGACTATGAGCTTCTTGCTTTTGTACCGGTAGTACTACAGCTGCTTTTAAAATATTGGGGAACTCTCCTGTGCGAAAAAATACGTTTAGGATATATTCCCGTGGCCTGCTAATGTAACGATGGTACTTTTTTGACTAGCTGTCAGACACTTCAGACTTTTCATTAATGTTTATATTTATGTCGCTCGCCAAAAGATTTATATTAGATTTCTTGAAGTCATCAACGAATGGAATTGTATATGTTGAGGGGGTCTATAGATGGCTGAGACTAGTATATATTTATCAAGCCTTAACATGGATATTTGCTAAATCTTAATAGTTGTGTTACTACATTAATATTCGTAAACTCTATATTTTCCTTACACAAGTTGAAACGCCGTAATTTTTTAATGATATCACCATCATTGTGAAATATATGATATTTTTCTGACTAAAACAGCGAAAAATCTTCAGCTCTCTGACAATACAATGCAATTAAATTACTTTTGATGTTGTGCAACTTATGCTGCTGCTTATGTTGAGATGTAATATAGCGAAACGTGTGTCATTCTGGTCTAAATTTAAGATATTGAAGCAATCATCTGCAGATTTAGCATTTCTAGAGGCAATTTTATTTATTAAAGGGATTCCTCTACCTGGTTCGTTGTTGCATCAGCTTTGATTTCCCAGTGATTTCGTCTCCTGGTAATCTCATTCCTTTTGTCATTATTTGTACTTGAAATTGTAGCTCTTTCACATTCTTTTTGTGACCTTGAATACCCTGTATCTCGGTAACAAAGCCGTAAAATCCCATAAGTCCCAATTACGATGGGATGCTATATGCCGAACGTCGTTGTTTTCTTCTTATTGTTATATATAGTAATATAATATTTATTCAAAATGTTTACAAATAACATTGGAATAAATAAGAACAATCCCATAGAAAGGAATACAAGTTCCTTGTGCATGGGCCATGTGACTGTTCACAATGCATCAAATTTTTATACGGCTGGCTGGCCTGGTAGTAGGCCATCCTCTTAACTCACTTTTGAAGAACATTTTCGATAGTATGTGGGTCTATTTCATCGATAGCGCGACGGATATTTTCCTTAAGAACATCAATTGTTTGACGATCCTTAGGGTAACAGCGGTCCTTAACAGAACCCCATAGGAAGTAATCCATGGGCGTTAAATCACAGCTGCGGGCTGGCCAATGAACGTCTCGAAAACGGCTGATAACGCGATGACCGAACTTAGTGTGTAAAAGATCGATTGTTTCACGGCCGGTGTGGCATGTTGCGCCATCCTGCTGGAACTAGAGATTGTGCAAGTGCATGTCGTCTAATAGTGGCCACAACAAAACTCCTCAACATGTCTCTATAGCGTTCCCCGTTTACCGTCACGCTGTTACCATCTTTGTCTTGAAAAAAGTAGGGACCAAGAATCCCACCACTCCAAACAGTTACTCTTTCTGGATGCATTGGTTTTTCTATGACGATATGTGGATTTTCGGAACCCCAAATCCTACAGTTATGCTTGTTAGCGTAACCTCCCAGATGGAAATAGGCTTCGTCCGAAAAGATGATCTGGCTACCAAAATTGACGTCCGTTTCCAATTGATTTAGAGCCCACACAGAAAAAGGATATCGAAGCGGATGGTCATTTTGTTTCCACTCTTGCAAAAGTGGCACCTTGTACGGAAATAATCCTAGGTCGTTATGCAATATTCTCCGCACAGAAGTGCGACTGTTGTCCACTTGTTGTGCTCTGTGACGAGTTGACATTCTTGCGTTCTCACGCACACTCGGGGCAACAGCAGCAATGTTTTCGGCTGAACACGCTCATACCTTCTGTTATCCTCAAGCAGCTCAGTTTCACGAACCTTCACGAATTTTCGTATACCAGTCGCGAACGGAGCTTCACTCCGACCAAATAGACTTCTCAATTTTCGCAAAGTTTCTGAAAATAGTTTTTCAATATTTCCCACCTTTGTTCAAGATTGCTCACACCGGAACTTTGGACACAAAATATCTGTCAATATGTTGAACATGGAAGTGTTACCAACTGTCAAAATAATACCAACTTGAAAAAACAACTGATGGTCCACCCTTTACATGTTTTAACGTAAGTTGGAAGTAACCACAATATTTAATTTGCAGAAATAAGTAAATATCCGAAATGAGAAAGGTAATCAGTACATTAATTTGGGTTCCAGAAATATGGGAAAAGTGTATTCATGATCGAGGAACCGACATTAACCCTTTCTTTAACTCCTTTTTAAACTTGTTAATGTTTGTCTCTTTATTTCAGTTGGTAGAATGTTATCACATCTTGGACACAAAAAGATCCAACATTGTAGTAATGAGTTCTTTCCTGGTTGGGGAATTTTGAGTAAACTAGGTGTATCTCTATTTCTTGAACGATATTTATATTCAACACATTAAAAAAAATATGTTTATGTTGATTTGTGACCATGTAAAAAAATAGTGGTCTAATATCAAGTATTTGAGTTTCGGCATACAAAGTTTTCCTTGGATATGTAATCGGTTTACTGTGTATTGTTTTTAAGATTAGTTTTTGTGATCTTCTCGAGAGCATCAATGTAAGTTTTGTTGCTTCTCAAATAATGATACCATAATTTACATAACTTTCGAATAATGCATAATAAAGAATTTTCAATTGTTTTTCTGTTGGAAATTTATGATTTTTGATTTTGTAAAGAAAAAATCTCAATCCTTTGACAATGTACCAATGCAGAACTTTACATAATAATTCGTAAATAAGTAGTCAGACATAAATAGTGGTGTATATAAATGTTCTAGCTAGTTAAGTTAAAGTTAGTTGTGTTGTGCCAACCTAGAAGGAAAACTCTTGGAGTTATACGAAAGTACAGCCAAATTAGAAGAAAAGTTTTTGGAAAATACCGCCAATTTAAAGAAAGAATTGGAAGACAAAATTATGGAAAAATCTTGCGAGTTTGCAGCTTTAGACGTCAAGACCATCGACGAACGCCATCGTAGACTTCCGTTGGAAAAATGAGGTTAGAGCTTTTGTTGGGTCAGCTGGTCATCTGCGAATGAAACCGCCACAATTTGATGGTACAACGGCTTGGAATGCCTACCGGCGTCATTTTAAGGCAGCCGCGAATGCAAATGGTTGGTCATCGACCGAAAAGGCAACTGCACTCACTTTGGCCCTGCGAGGAGATGTTGCAACTGTTCTTCAAGAAATATCACCCGAAGAGCAAGAGGTTTACAAACAGCTAGTAGGACATTTGGAGATCCGATATGACCAGTCACATTTAGAACATGTCTACCATACTCAACTAAAGAATCGGTTCCAGGAGTAAGGCGAGTCTTAGCAGGAGTTCGGGGAAGATATTGTGCGGTTGGTACGATTAGCATATCCCGATGTTCAGGAAAGGATGATGGAGCGACTGACAGTTCAAGCATTCCTGGATGGCCTTCATGATGGTGAAATGAGGCAAGCCTTACATCCACCTAAGCTAATAGATGCGCTAACTCGGGCCTTAGAATTCGAAGCCGCTAAAAACACAAAGCCATGTCCGAGTCCGCCAGATGGTACCAGGAGCTAACGAGTTCGAAGAGACCGTCAAGCGCAAGTTGCAATGTTGGAAATGTGGAAAAATAGGGCACGTTAGGAGACGCGGTACTGAAGGGGTATTAGTCCTCATCCGGCCAATCCGAAATGCCAGCGAGCAGAGGAGAAAGATGCCCAAGTATTGAGAACCACTATCGCTAGTGATACTTGGCAAAACGAAGACCTCATTATTCCCCTACTATAAAATCATATTGGTCACAATTGAATTCTCTAATTATGGACGACGGGCACCTACTGCGTAAAATGGTGGACCACGACGGCAAAGAGGAAAGAAGGCAAATCGTTATCTTCAGATGCCGGATCCCGGAGCTGCTAGAAGAAATCCATTCCAGTGTGTCAAGAGGTCATCTTGGAGTTACAAAAACCCTGGAAAAAGTGAGGGAAAGATTTTACTGGGTCAATAGCAAGGCTGACGTAAAAGACTGGTAATGGACCGCAAAGGAAACCAAAAGCTTCGATGCGCCAATACAACGTGGGGAGCCCCTTTGAAAGGATTGCTATTGATGTGGCGGGACCCATTACTTCAGTAAGTGGATTGAGGCATACGCTCTGCTAAATCAGGAAGCCTCTACGATAGCCGATGCTTTAGTAAAAGAATGGATCTGTCGATTTGGTGTTCCTTTAGAGTTGCATTTGGACCAAGGGCGCAATTTCGAGTCAAATCTGTTCCAAAATATCTGTCAAATCCTTGGTATTAAGAAGACCAGGACTACTGCCTTACACCCGCAGTCAGATGGAATGGTGGAGCGCATGAATAGGACCATTAACCGATAGTTGGCTAAGGTAGTCTCTAGCCATCAAAGAGATTGGGATAGTCTTCTTTGCCTCTTCTTATTGGCTTACCGATCGTCGATTCATGAAAGTACAGGAGAGACTCCGGCTCGAATAGTTATAGGAAGAGAACTCCCATGCGATCTAAAGTTTGGATGTCCACCAGGAACTGATATTGCCGGAGAAGACTACGTAAGTAATCTACGTAGAAGAATGGAAGCCATGCATACCCAGGTTCGTGTTTCAATTCGTGCCAGCGACAGGATGAAGGAAGCTTATGACGTTAATGTCAAAGACCAGAGGTATGACAACGGTGATACGGTTTGGCTTTACGACCCAAAGAGGCGAAAAGGGCTGTCGCCTAAACCACAATCATCTTGGGACGGGCTATATAAGGTTCTGGAGGCTACTAACGGTGTTCTCTACAGGAGGCACCACGCGGTAAAGCCCGAATTGTACATTTCAACCGACTTGCCCGTTATCATGGAAACAACGAAGATGCGGCGGTGCGGCAAATCCAACCAGACCCGGAGATGAAATTTGACCAATTTGTGGCACACCATGCTAAACGCCATCAGAGTTGGCGCGATATCTGAAGTACAGCAAGTTCTGTTTACCACTTCACCAAAGTATGCCCTGGCTCAAGACTTTCAAATGTCGAGGGGTGTAGCAAAGCTCTTTCTCAGGAAGTTTGGAAGAATGCACGAGCTGCGTCAGTCTCCAGATGATTGAAGAGGGTACCAACCGAAAGATCTTCTATCTGGTTACCACGAAAGCTTCGTATCAGAAACCGAATAACGAGGACGTCTGGAGCGCTTTGTGCTCTCTTACAGAAGTGTTGCTTGCCGAGGACCTGAGAAAACTGGCAATCCTAAGCTGGTATGTGGACTGGACAACCTGGACTGCAGAATCATCCGAAGCATGCTTGAGGTAGTCTTTCGGTATACAGGCATTCGATTTCGGGTATGTTGTCACAGTCCTAGACGGCTACCTCCTGGAAAGAGTGTGGATTGTTACTTCTTCTAGAGCTCCTGCTGCAAGAAAGGGCAGTCGTGCCGATATCGACATCCATCACCAGTAAGATCATTCCGGGACGGAATGACTTTAGGGAAGGGGCAGTGTAACAAGAATAAGTAGTTCTTCCAGCGTCATCTGTTGGAAATTGCGCCAGGGACTCTACTTCGAGATCGACGCGAACTGACCTCGAAGATTCTGGACTGCCGCTGTGTGGCTCACCGGAACTTTTTCGAACTAACGAGTACATGCGATGCGGAATATATAGGGCGACGGAGGCAGAGTTGAGTGAATGGCGCGACATAATAATTCGTAAATAAGTAGTCAGACATAAATAGTGGTGTACATAAATGTTCTAGATAGTTAAGTTAAAGTTAGTTGAATTGTGTTTTAAATGAATTACGTGCATTTCTTCTTGTGGAATCGAGTGATTTTTAATCCACACCCAAAAGAATCCAGAAAAACGCTACAGTATGTCCTATTGACATCGCAAAATAAATTTCTATAAAATTTAAATGATTGGAAATACTAATGTAATAACCTTTTCACTTTCATAAATACTTAGGTTTCCGTGGGAATCGCAATTGCACCAAGTTCTCTCTTTGACTACCCATATTGAGGCTGGATTTTAAAACATCGCTAACGTTAATTCACTTGATGGCAGCATACGACACTATCTGGAGAAATGGTTTAAGTTTTAGACTTATTGGAGTGGTTCCCTGTTTGAAAACCTACCAGCTGCTGCTTTCCGGTATTTATCAGTGACAACCACAGCACAACCAGTACACTAAATAATGGCCTACCAGGAGGCTCTGTACTCTGTATATGCTGGCACTGTAGCATATTTTTTCATCTGTTAGGATTCTCTTTTCTTGTCTCTCTCATTTTTTAAATTCAGCAAATTTGCATATATAATTTCCAGAATGAATAAGAAAAAGTTTATGTGTGACTAATTTCTAGCTTTAAATCTCAAGTCAGTGCATTTGAGACAAGAAACCAATGGAATTATCATCCACACAATTTATTGGCACGCAAATTCTCAGTATGCACCTATGTACTGCCATTTCCTTCCAGCTACAGTATACAACTCGCAGCTTAGACCTCCAATAATGCCATCTCTGATGCAGAATCACATCAGAGCCAGACATTGATAACTGAAGCATCATGACGTTTAAGCAACACGTACAACTACAAAACGAGTTCACAAGTGTCCATCAGCTAGTGTAGAAAAACCTACGTTATGTAAAAAAAACGACGAAATGTCACTTTTCAAGCTACGTAATACACCTGCGGTGCGAGTCTCAAACTGAACATAGTAACAGAGTTTGGAAGACTGAGAAGGGAAATAAACCGAGCAGTGAACAATGAACAGAGAATTGTCAGGCCTAGAAAATAACCGACATTTTGAATATCTGCTGTGATTTACCTCTGCTTATTTATGGTTGTGATTGTTATTATCATCAATAAAATTTTCATTTTGTGTTCAGGTTTCACCATACTTTTTTATTCCTTTAGGATTTTCATCTAACAACAAACTCTTAGCCAACTAACGGAATACATCACTGAATTTAAGACTGAAAAGTACATTTAAATGTACATAATTCCAATGTAGCGTCCATATGAAAAACTAAAGTTGATGATTAAAGGCAAAAGAAATGTCGAATTGAAAATTTGACTACGGCATCTTGTAGAGTCGAATTAGTAACATTGACAAACAACATGCAATTTATTTCGAAATCCCATTTCAAACAAGGGAAAAAATAAAAGTGATTTTGGGATAAATCTAGTATACGAAATAAATGACTATACTATGACGTATTATATATTTTTGGAATCAGAATTAAAAACTCTATTTATCATCATAAGAAAAAATAAAGTTGATGCTGGAGGACAAGAGACGAAACATACTGAAATTCTGTAGAGAAAAAGTGGTTAATACGCAATTTATTTTGAAATTCTACTACGAATTAAGTCATAAAACGTTAAAACGATTCTGAGTAAATTCTGTTTTTTCCGTCTGTCTCAGGATTTCGAAACTTTTTAAGCTGTTATATTTGTTAATAATTACCTAAATACGCATCTTTGCCCCAATTTAAGCGACTTCGTATCGCTGACAGTTTCCGAGATTCCAATGGTGAGTTTAGAATTTGAAACAGACTGTATAGACATCTAGATATTTAAGAGTGTCTTTCGCAATTAAATTTAATTTCTGGTAGTCAGGCAAATTTTTGGGATATGGCGGAAGTGACATAAAGTACGTTTTACTATAATTCACCGTTAGTAGGCGAGATTGAACCCAGTTAATTATAGTATAAGTCATTTTCATAAACTGTTTTTAGTTGACTACAATTTTCTGCACTGTAGAGAATGATGGAATAGTCGGCAAAACTTTTTTCCAGCTCTAGTCTAACTTGATCAGGTAGCAAATGAAACTACCAATATTACGGAACAATATCACTGATCAACAGCCAAAAAATATCCTAAATAAAATCAACAAAATATTACTATTTTTAATGTGCTAAAACCGGAATGAAACTTATTTTTTCAATATTAGTTCAAGTTTTAGAGATACGGTAATTATATGTGTTCCTGCTGTGACAGTGTTAATATACTGTAATTCACAAGAATGCACGTGCTACATTTTTATATTCGGCAAGGAAAGATGATGTAATCGGCATGATTGTGTTACGTTATACATACGTGTACATTATATTGTTTTATATTAGCCATTTTTTCCTCAGTTGGCTGACAGCGTTCATGCAAGATGTCTCGAAAGTGTGTAAACAATCCAGACCAGTTTTGTTACGTGTGTGGTGATGTGACTTTTGCGTCTCAGAGACGGTCTATTACTCCACTAATAACAAAGGCATATCAGCTTTATTTCGGTTGTAAACTAGGTGATCAAGACAAACAGTGGGCACCCCACATCTGCTGTAATACATGTGCTTCAAGTCTGAGGAGCTGGTTAAATGGCAAAAAACGGTCTATGTGCTTTGCTGTCCCAATGGTTTGGAGAGAGCCTACAAATCATATTAATGATTGTTACTTTTGCATGGTACCTTGTATTGGACAAGCCACAGGTATGTCCAAGAAAAAAAAATCGGTTATTAACTACCCAAACATACCATCTGCGATGAGACCTGTGCCTCAGTGACGAAAATCCTATTCCAAAACCCCCAGAATCCTACACTTGCGAATCAGAAAACGAATGAGATCATGGCGATCGAGTTATTCGTCAGGAAGAAGATATGCCATCAACGTCAAGAGATCCAGATTTTATACCGAGCACGTCATGCCACCAACCGCACAATATAACACAGTCAGAATTAAATGATCTTGTAAGAGATTTAGAACTTCCAAAATGTAAGGCAGAGTTACTTGGATCAAGACTGCAGCAGTGGAACTTGTTAGAAGGCGATGTTTCGGTATGTGTTTTTCGTAAACGCCACAAAGACTTAGAACCATTTTTCAATATGGAGAATAACTTGGTTTTCTGCAGTAACATTAACGGCTTACTGGCGGCTTTAAATATAAACTATAACCCAGAAGAATGGAGATTGTTTATAGACAGTTCAACATTGAGTTTAAAGGCAGTGTTATTGCATATTGGAAATATTTTACCATCTCTTCCTGTAGGGTATGAAGTTCACATGAAAGAATCATATGACAATATGAAGTACCTATTGACATGCATAAAATACGATGAGCACCAATGGCATATTTGTGGCGATTTGAAAGTTGTTGCACTTTTACTTGGGCTGCAGCTAGGCTACACAAAGTTTTGCTGTTTTTTGTGTGAATGGGACAGTCGGGCAAAGGCACTTCATTACACCAGACAAAACTGGCCTGTTCGTCAATTCCTAGAGCCAGGTCAAACAAATTTACAGCATATGCCACTAGTAGATTCGAAAAAAATTTTATTACCACCACTGCATATCAAGTTGGGCCTAATGAAAAACTTTGTCAAGGCATTAGATAGAGATGGGACAGCTTTTCAATACCTGCGTCAGAAATTTCCAAGACTAAGTGAGGCAAAGGTTAAAGAAGGTATTTTTGTTGGGCCACAGATTCGAAATATTTTTAAAGATACACAGTTTGAAAACACTTTAACAGGTATTGTAAAAACTGCTTGGAATGATTTCCGTCTGGTGGTCACTAATTTCTTGGGAAATAGAAAAGCTGACAACTATAAAACCCTTGTCAAAAATATGCTGTCATCGTATCAAAAGATGGGCTGTAATATGTCTCTTAAGATACATTTCCTACACTCACACCTGGATTTTTTTCCTGACAATTGCGGAGCCGTAAGTGATGAGCACGGCGAACGTTTTCATCAAGATATTTCAACAATGGAAAAAAGGTACCAGGGAAAGTGGAATACTTCCATGCTTGCAGACTACTGTTGGACTCTTGGTAGAGATGCTCCAGAAACGAACCATAAAAGAACAGCAAAAAGACAGCGCATATAGTGATTCTTATAAGTATATGAATTTTGTTACTTTTTTTAATATATCCTTAAAAATAAAAAGTTTTTTTTCTAAACCGCAACTATTTCTTCTATTTCATTGTCATTTTTGGTATCAGCGCCCCAAAATTAACAAAGAAGTGCACTTTTCCCACAAGATACAATTAAAAAACTAAACTTTGTTGTCCAGTGTATACAAATAAATACTTAATTGGTGCGACATAAATATCGTTATACTGTTTACCCTTAGGTAACAACACTCAGGTCGGACAACGAATTGGGAAAATTGCGAGGGCATTCCTTATTCGACATCAACAAGGTTTGCCAAATCACATATAATTGCTATTGGGCCTGTTGTTAACACAAATTATTATAATAATAAAACTGGCTGGTGGTTTATAATGTCACTTACTTATGTTTCTTAAGGATTGTTGCTAGATTATTCTTCAATTGCT